TAGATGTAATGCTCCTTGTTAAGTACTTTTTAGTAATTTTAATTAAGTGTGAAATTGAGGGATTTGCATTTACTCTTAAATTTTTTTTTTTTTGAGCATTGTGTGATTGTGTACAAGTTACAGCTCTATCTTGATGGACTGTCTGAAATCAACGCAAGCTGAAAACGGGAGTTACCCATGCCCTTGGATTATAACACAAGCAGGATTCAAAAACTCAGCCTACAGCTATGACCCACTGACTCAATGAACTTGAAACATCCCATTAAAAAACACCAACCCGAACAAGAGGTTCCCAGGAGTATGACAAACTGATGGGTAAAATAATGTGTGGGTTGGACAAAGCACTATCAAGGAAACACCTTGATCTTGAACTGTGGCCACCAGATCACAGAGCAGTCTTGAGGGAGGACATCAGGTTCTCATCCGATTGCTGCTTTTAGTAAATGGTCCCAGAATATCCCATTACAGAGAGAGGGTGCACACAGCTACCACAGGCATTAGCTGACTGCTCAACTATGCCCCTGCAACATATAAAAATCAAATGACAAAGCAGATGATTAAAGAGAAACAATCAAAAAGAAATTAAAGCTCACTGGTATCTTAAGCTACATCAAATTGCCTTTTGTTCTCCTGAGCAGCTAGGTAGGGATGTTGGAATTAAATTAAGAAGAGTATTATAACCCTGCTCTTTTTATCTAACCTTGATGTTAAACACCATTTCATGTTGTCGTTGCAGCCGTTATATTTGGCACAAACTCTGGTCACTCTCACTTTTCCGAAATCTTATTCCCTATTAAAATCCAAGGGAAGTTTACAAGGAGGTTAAGCAGCTCAATTTAAGGCATGTTTGGGCGGGGGGTGGCGTGTGTGTGTCTGTAGTTAGCACCATCCACAGCATAGATGGGGCCGATTTAAACCTGCGTTCTTCTGGTAAACATGTTAGGAAAAGCAAAAGGGCTAAAGAAAATATTTAAACTTGCTAAAATATGGAGCCACACAATAACCAAAAGCTATGGAAATAGAAGATCACAGGAAATACACTTTCAGAATATAAAAGCTGGCAAGAAAATATTAAATTTCAGCTCTACTAAATAAAATACCTTCAAAAGCTTTTTTGTTTTAAAGACATCACTGAGATCGTAATCAATCAGTCTGGCTACTTAGACACACAGCACCCCATTGGAAGATTTAGCAAAAATGAAGTACTGAATTATTCAGCATTTAAGCAATCCTATAAGGAATATGTAGCTGAAAAGGACAAACTGCAAAACAAGATTATTCTCCTGTTACTTCAGTATATACTGCAGTTTTAACAGGGCCTTCCAGGGAGATATCTAAACATTTTTTCCACACACAGAGTAGAGATCCCAGCTTTTAAACTTGTATTTTTAAGTCAAATTATTCTAGTATTTACATGCAACAGAAAAGCATGATCTCCATCTCTGAACTTTTTAAATTAATATTTTTACTGTATTTACAGCTATGTTTTCTCTTTCTCAGCTAGGCTGCCTTTTTTTTTTTTTTAAACTGCTCTGCTCTGTATACTGTTAAGCTTATAAAGACATACTAGGGAAGTCTCATCTTTGGATACATATACTATACACTTACAGTACATGCACATGTCCACGGGATCACAGAGATAATCCTGTTCAGACAAATACTATATAATCTCAGAAAGACAAATTTAAATCAATAAGCTTTAAAATTTCACAGTTTCCTCAGAAAGTTTTTTTTAGTGGCAATGTACACAAACTAGATGAGATTTATGTTTTCCATGAAAAGTTCTGATGAATTTTGGATATGCTTTGATACATCGGCTCAAATCTGCTGAAAGATTTTCCCTTTTTAAGTCTTTCTCAAGATACCTTATCAACATTTTGAATGTCTTAAAAAACATGAATACAAGCCTATCAGTCCCTGAGACTGTATCACAGCAGCTAATAGCCAAAAGAACAATGACAAAATGGGCATTATTTCACACAATTCCATACAATTTTCATATACAGCTCTAAGAATAAAAATCATGTATCAAGCTGTTAAAACACAGGCAGGAGCCTGTAACACTGGAATTCATACAGTACTGATACTGTAAAACGTTACACTGACACCTGACAAAATGGAAACTGTTTGCCAATGCATGCACCTCAAGGTCACAGTATTAAACAGCACCAAAATAACTCATTAAGGTGATAAATTTTGTCTTAAGTCCCCATCTCTTTCCTTCTAGCATTGAATCCAGCATTGAATTTCCTTCTGGCAGCTGCACTAAAATACTAAACCATCCTCAGAGGCTGAATGACACAATCTGGGCATCACAGCTTATTGACTCCTGACGGATGACCAGCACACGTTTCAAGTGTTTGATCACTGGTAGGGATTCTGACTTATCTTTCAAATGTTTGTTTTAAATTTCTAAACAGGAGGAGAAAAACTAAAATCTAAGCCAAACAATAATGATTAAAACAGGAAGACATCAACTCCACCTAATTTAATATTAGGATTTGTTTTTCAAGAGAACACTTTTTGAAACTTCATACCAAGCATGTTTTTTTCATTGTTGGCCACAGAGCAAGCAGGAATTCTGTACTGAATAAAACCACAGCAGACATTAATATTCATTCAAATCAATTTCCACAAGAGCTGACAGCACAGTCTGTTGAACAGAATTTAAGGTGTTTAAGTTTAAAAACAGACAAAAGTTTCAAATCATTGTCCATTTCCACCCTGCCATTGTGACAAGAGGTTTTCAGAGTTCTAAACCCTTTTTTTCCCACCTCATTAAAATGTTGGAAAACGAAACATAATTCTGACAGATTTAGCCCATATGCACCTACCTAAATGGACAATTCTCTGTTACTTTTGGGAAAGTCTACAAAATAAGTCAAACTTGTTAAAATAAATACCTACAACATGCACCTTAAGTTTATCCTTTTGTTTTTTCCACTGCTTTTCTAAATATGTTAAAAAATGTTGGGAGGCTCATACATTTGTAAAGTCAACTCGACCATTCTCCAGTAAAACTGATTTACAGAAAGTGCACTACAAAATAACTCTGTTAAGACCCAGACCTTACTGTGCTGAATTACTGACCCTATACACAACCTTGATTTTTATATTGCTCAACTTTTGAGCAGCTTTAGAGATCAGATCAGAAGTCAGGAAAACAAAACCCAAAACCTAACAGAAAAGGGAAGGACCACCCCCACGGCACCTGAGCTGACTACCTCTCTGGTGGGATAGCAGCAGGACTGGAACTCTTTGGCTTATTGCACAGACCCAAGACCCCAGCCTGCAGATAACCATCAGAAAAGCAGGCTGCCATGCCACCCTTTGAGGGCTGGCATGTTTTGCCAGAGGATTTTGGCTACTTCAGTGAGAATCTTCATCTCTATCCCAGACTGAGAATGTTTAACAGCAAGTATTTTCACTGCTTCCACATTTAAACTCAGTCCCGTTCCCTCTTGCCTGCCCTTGCCTACTCCAATCCCTATTCCAGATCAGGGTCTCCACTCTCCCATTTTACTTGCGGAAACATCCCATGCTCTATTTCATAAAGGCTCTTTACAGCTTATGTCTCCTCCTCCAGCCAGTTCTAGTCGTCTTCTCCATGCTGCAGAGAAGGTCCCTAGGTCTAGTCACTGCTTTCTGTGACATTAGCATCAGTCCTCACAGAATAGCATCAGGCTCTTGACTGAGTCTATTCACCTTCCCTCAGACTTTTTTTATCTCCTCTACAGTCAAACTGGACAGCTACTTCTTGCCTGAAGACCTGTAACAGGTCATTCAATTCAAGCAAGAAAAGAAAAAAAAGTTACCACACTCAGCTTTTATTCCTGAAGACACCCTGCTTTCAAATAGCTGCTACAGGGAATATTGCTGGGCTACAACTGACAGGACTGGCTCACTTGCTTAGCACAACAGGGACACGGGCAGTATCATCAATGCTAGATGGAGCGAGGGGAAGTAATGTGCAATGGAAGTTAACTACTCAGAAGAAACTATCAACTGATCTCCAGAACCTATACAGGAACTGTTAGTAATTCGGCTGAATTAAAGGCCTGAGAAAGTCACAGCTTCTGTCTCAACATTTTAAACCAGACATGTTTGAGATCACAGTGCAGGTTTTTGTTTTAAGTTGGGCAACATAATAAACAACTTGGCACTGAGCCTTTTAACAGGAGAAAACAGAAAACCACAATTTCCCTGCTTAATACAAAACCAAGGCAAGTAAACATTTGACAACTCCTTTTTTTTTTTTCTTTTTGCCAGTTGTTATAGGTGAATCAAGTCCAGAAACGTTAAGCAGTTGGCTCTTCTCAAAAGATATTTTGCAAAGTAGTAACCCAAATACAAAATGCATCTTGGCATGTATTACAATAAAAAAGTGTTGACATACATTCACACTTTCTTTTTTTTTTTTTCAAGGAATAAAGTACCAGGAAAGATCCACGTTTGCCTTACTGCAAACTCCTTGCTCTCACTGAGAAATACTTACCCTTGCAGACAATCCCACCAAATCAATACTTCCTTTCCTTAGATGTCACATTAAACTACTCGGGTTTTAAGTGTTGTGAATGGGATTTGCAATCTGTTACAGTGTACGTAAAAGAGGATTGTCTGTATTTGTGGAGCAAATGCCAGAAAACAAAAAGAGAATGACATCTCCTTTAAATAACTGCAGACAGTACAACTGGCATATTTTGAAATTCTAAGGCAACAATATTGGACCAGCATATGAAACTCTACTGTAGAGACCAAGTTAATGTACTGCTTTCTTCTACAAAGTAGAAATACTCTGATGTTTTTTCCCTTGTCTTTTTTTTTAAATTCAGTAATAGGTAGCAATATGAAATGCCAATACTGCCACCAGAGAAGTTACGTACTCCACTTCTGCATTCAATGAATCCCTTAAGATAACTTGTAATGTCTGGTTTGAGTAGTACGCTCTTTAAGATGATCTATCTGGCAATATTCATGTATATGAAAAATACACATGCACATTTTTGCAGACTTGCCATTTAATGTATTTTCATAATTCACTACAAAAATGCGGTTTCACAACTGCTACCATACACTGGGACTCCTACAGTAGTATGGAGAATGTACAGGTGTTTTTCCCAGAAGTGGCAATACTGCGCATTGTGCAAATTGTCTAGGACTCCAATCCTTTTTGAGCCACAGTTAGAAGAAAATTTGTGGGCTCAATACTGATATCAAAATACAGATTTAAATAATTTACTCTTAAAAACATTCATATTTATAGCCTCTTACAGAAAATAAACAATTCATCTGATTATCAGATATGTCCTCAGTTTTTCCAGTTCCAAGGTATACACAAGTCTCCATCCTGCAGCACAGAGTAGAAATGCGAAATGCAAAGGTGCATGCCTTGTAGGTATGGCAACGATTCTTCTAGCAGTCGCTTACAACAATCTATCATCTGTGCACTGGAAACACTGGGCTCCTTATACAGCCGATCCAAAGAAAATTTTTCAGTGGAAGTATCGATTAGCTCTTTTTCTGTAATCATCATCCTAGCAAATGAAGACAACATACAGTGACAAAATTAGAACTTAATCTCTTAAAAAAACCCTTGAAATAAGTATATTTGTAGGTTATATGCATGTAAACAAAGGTGTCACTTCACATGTGGTACAGCTGAGATTTTTGTGCACGTTGATATCCATGTCTACCTCAGAGGCTAGACTGAACATGCTTCCATGATTATGGGCAACAGCATGCCTACAGAGTCACATATGAAAGCCTGCACCATGACATTTTTTTGCTCACCAGGTAACGGGAAAAAATACCAAAATAAAAATCCTATGAGTCTCCATTTTTAATGTAAGGGATGAAAGTACTTAAATAACCTTGGAAGTGTAAACTTTAAGAATAATGTCATGTTACTAACTACTCTGTTGTCTTAACTAAGAACAGTACTCTGCAGGTCATCAAAACCAATGGATGACAGGTACAGTCACCTGATGCATATTAAACGTGTTAATAATTTAACTAATTGCAGAAGTATATGGATTCGGTTGGACTCTATGATCTTAAAGGTATTTTCGAACCTAAATGCTTCTATGAATATTGAATTCATAGCTTGCAGATGGTTTTTGCCATTCACCCCAAAGAGTGGTAAGGTATCACCTGGCAAACTCAAGCTACTCAGAAATAAAGTTAATATGCAGAATTAATTAAGAGTCACTGGAATTGTGACTGATCATCTAATGCAGAGACAGTTCAGGTTCAGCAAGCCCTACTAGCTCAGGCAGTGTGCCACGTTAACACAGCTATACTTCCAGAGCCAGCTTGGTTATGGAAACAGCACCATTGCTGCCCTGCAACACAGACCCTGTGCTGAACAGGGGAGGAGCTACTAAGCAGCAGCACATTTGCAGAGCCACTGGGACATGAATCAGCCCAAGCTGAGCACAGACACAGCTACTGAGACCATTTGACCCACATGAAAACATCACCATAGGGGCTCAACACCACTCTCTCCAGAGCTCAGTATGGGATCTCTATGTACTTGCATGGCACTACGCTCTGCTGAGGCGCTTGGATCGCTGTATGAGAGCCCAGCCCAGCTCCAGCAGTCAGGGATGAACTGAGCTGGTGAGTTGACCTGGAGCAAGCCTGCCCTCTCTACTGACCATATCCACGCCACCCCCCGAGCACATTCTCTAATACCCCAGCACCAAGCTTTCCTGTTCTGTGAAACCTCAGGCTCCCTTGAAGGATATAAAGTTAGCTGCCCATAGTGAGAACTGCAGGTTTATTTTTAGTCACTTCCGCAAGGAGGCTTACACCTCTATCACAATACAAAACTGATACTTCACAGAAGCAAGGGAAGGAGAAGTGGATTGATACTAAACCCTGCATTAGAAGACGACTGACATGATCCATACAAATAAGACAATTTTCTAGAGCAGCAGTGTTTGAATGCCCCAGTGCATCAGGTCATACAGAATTCCAGCTACGCTATGCTATTTACTCCATGTAAAACATTCGTCTGCACATGCAAAGTAAATCCAGTACATCTCAAAATATTTTCCTTTATCTCCCTTTAACAACCACAGGAGGCAAAGGAAAATCCAAGTACAGAATGGGTTCTGTTCAAGGAAGCACTAAGTGGAAAAGGAGTTTTCAGCTTCAATAAAAAGACAACTAAGGGGAAATATGATATATCCACAAGAAAAAGTAGAGATGATAAATACAGAATGATTATTTTGTATTTCCTACAGCACAAGAACAAGAGAATGACAAATGAAATCATCAGGCCATGGGTCTATAAAACAAAAAACACCTCTTCCCTCCTTCATATACACATGCTAATATGTAATTCAAGTGTGCAATTTGCTGCGAGGGGATATTCTGGAGCCACAAAGTGTAAACCGGCTCAAAAAATAATTAGACAATTAAGAGGGGGGGAAAAAAAACAAGATCTATTGAACACTCTTAACATAAGATAATGTTTCCAGCTACAAGTATATTCTCAAGAGCAGTCAGTCAGAAACTGGGAAGGAGTACTGAATAAAAAACTCCCACCCCATTTTTTGCCCCATTCATACAGTCTTTCCATAAGCTAATGGATGATGGGGACAGACCTTCGATATGATCTGGTGTAGTTGTTCTTTACTATTTTATACAAACCAGTAATCATTCAACACACAACAGAAGAGCCGAGATATGTAGCTTGACTCCCACATTCTTACAACACAGCTGCTTATACTCTTGAGGGGAGCCCCACATTTTTCCTGGATTAGTGTCTTTATAATGTGGGGTAGTGTGAGGTTTTTTGGAGAGCGAGTTACCCAGATGCAAATGCATACATTTGCTACAACATCCTTCCCAAACTCTACAGACAATACTTTCCCAGCTGTCACGTATCAACAGCTACATAGAGAGCTATTCAGCAGTTATAACTTATATGGCAAAAATAATCTAACTTCAAAGCTGGACTAGGGTTACAGAAAGATTCCAACAAACCTCTGTGTTTTACCAAATTCCATCTCCAAAATATATCCTCCCAAGTAATCAGGTCTTAACAAGAGCTAAAACCACAAAGCCTTCAGTAGGACTCATGCCTAAAATAACCTTCACAAAAAAAAAATCTGGATCTATATACATCATGTATAAAATCATGACAGTGTGATGATACTTCAACAATTCATTAAAAGCTTTACAAAGCAGAAAAATAAACTTGCAGTAACAACCTCTAAAAGGACAGTAACACCCAGTTACCTACCACAGTATTTTATTAAAATCAAATCAGTATCTCTACTTCATGTTCTTAATCCTCAAAGACACATACAAGGTCAAGAACAAAATTTACAGTTCTGATGGATATTACAAGTCATGGACTTAATATTAAGCATGGTACTATGACTCACTGTTGTCATCTCTCTCATCTCACTTGCATCTCTGAAAGAGTACCAAGGAGGTATTTCTCTCATCATTCTATCCCAATTTTTTTTCTTTGCCTTGTTAGGTGCTAACTACTCCTTTCCACAACTAACTGACAAACAACTAGAAATAATAATTCTGTAGTCGGTCTCAGTTATTTTGTATTTAGAGTTTACTGCTTTCTTGTCAAAATGTAAGTAACATAGATAGAAGTTTGTCGCTTGTTCAATAAAAAGGTCTCTTCCTTAAAAAGACCCCACCTCTTCTTTGGGGAAGTAATTGTAAAAAAATTACGTAATTTTGTCTTGTAAGCAAAGATCTTTTATTTCTGAGTAAAGTACAACTGTTTCTACAACATGAAGGATGGGTATTTTCTAACAGTTGTTTGTGTTCACTGAACACTGAAATTTTTGACTTAGTAAAGCTGATGGGTGAAGTTCTGTTTTATAAACAGAAGGTTTTTTTTCCACCAGATGAGCATGAATACATTCTTCAAAGTTCTCCTCCTACTACAAATAAAACATATGACATGCAAAGATTTTAACGAGCTAAGTGTATCGAGTCACATGAACACTTACTCCTCCTTCCTTTTCAGATTCTCTCTTGCTTCCTGCGCTTTGGCAAAAATAAACCATTGAAGGGTTGCTGGATCACACACCGTTGGGATTGTAAAGTGTCCAGATTCATGTAAGCTTGGTGCATATCTGTCACTAATGAAATATGACGGAAGCAAAAAACAAGGTACATTTTTTTTTATGCAAGTATTTACATGAATTACTTTCAGAATGAATTCTGAAGATAAAAGAATATCAATTAATCACAATCAGAATAATTGGTAAAAAATTAATCAAGTTTGGTTCATGAGAATACAGAAGCATCATAGATAAAGCTTTTTTAAAATTACATTTCAAAAGCAATTGTCAACAATACTCAAAAAATATAAACAGCAGCACCATCATACACAGCTGAGTGTTGACCTGACAGCACAAAACCTTTAATTTAACCCAGCACAACACTGTAAGATAAAGACAGAATCGTGACTCTAACATGAATGAAATTAAGCAGGTTTTCTTCAATCTGATTCCTTCTTAACCCATAAAATGCACTTAAAAACATTAGAAACAAAGACTTTGACATAATGAAAATCTGAGATTAGTTTTCTTAGTGAGAGCAATGATCAGTGTAACACACACAAAAAAACCAGAAAAGAGTAAAAGCTCCAAAAGGGAGAAACCTTTCCTGCAGATACCTACCTTTCCAGAATCATTTGCAAGCCTCGCAGACTGCGAGGATGAAAAGGTAGTCTACTGTCACGTAATTTATTATAGAAAGAGTCCAGAGTCTCATAGTACTCTTCTAGAGTCAACAGGGGTTGCAGTTCTTCAATATATATTACTTGTATGCCTCCCAGAAGTTGGCTTATCCGATCTTCCAAGAACAGCAGCCTTTTTTGAAGTTTATAATAATTTGGCAATCTCTCAAAAATCTGTGCACACACACAAACATTACCCATGTTACAAAGCATAAAACTTAATTTTAAGAAATGAAAAAAATAACAAGAAATTAAAAAAGAAGAGACATTTAACAATGCAAACATGGAACCCAAGGAGCGGGGGGAATCAAAGAACACCAAAAATCAGAAATATCAAGTATATACATTTTGGGGCAAGATATAATGGAGTAAGCTCTTAAGTATTTTCAGTATTTATACTATAAAGGCACCAAAAGGCCATAACAAGACTAATGGATGTCCTTTCTCTCTATATACAGAAATTAATAGTCCCAGATTAAAAAAAAAAAAATTATAATCTGAGGCCTACATAAAATGTTTATCACCATGGTTATAGTGGTAGAGCTGTTCCACAGTCAGAAGTGGTTTTGCCAGCCTAATTGATACCAATTCTCAAAAAAGCAAAGTCTCTGTTGCTGGAACTAGTTCTTTCCAAGGGCTTGGATGATAACCTAGCTTGTCTTGAGTCTGAAGGGAGAGGAGAAAGGAGGAAGGTACGAGATCTCTAATCTACAAAACCTGTACCAGGAAAGGTTAAGAAGCAATCAGACTTGTGAGTCGAGACATAGAAGGTCTGATAGGGAGAAAGAAGGCTGGAACAGGGCAACAAGTGAAAAGGGAAAGTCTGTAGTAGTAGTCACTACTTACCATCTACCCAGTTATTACTATAACATCGTTTTCCATACAAAAAAAAAGTACTGCTACTGGAACAAGTCAAGTGATTTCAGAATAACCTCTTTAGAAACCCAAGAGAGTAGGAGAATCAGAACAAGCTTTTGGGACAATAAAATCCATTGGTTCAGCATTTACATTTGTAAATGTAAGAAAAACTGCAAAAATCCTCTAAATATTGTACCTCTGACCAAACATTCTACACAATGACTTGGACACTATTCTACTGCTTCCTTTTTCTAATAATTAGCAACAGAAGTAACAGCACTTCAGACTGCTTTCTAAAACAGGTTAGAACTGGACAAAAATTCTGCTCTCTAAGAACCAAGCAGCTAATCAACCTCACGAAGATTTTCACTGACTTGTTCTGTGTATCATTTAACATGATCTCCAGTGCACTTATAAAATAAGAGGCCTTTGATTTCAGGTTCAAATACATACCTCTCCTTTGTCTTCCGAAGGAAATACCATCACCACAACTAACTACGCACATTGCCCCATCTGCACAATACTTTGTGCAGATATATGACCCCTTCAGAAAACCCAGTAGCTTAAAATATAAGTTCTCACCAGCTTTTCAGTAAGCCTAGCAGGTTTGGTTTTGCAGTTATCAAATGCATTTGTGAAAAGAACTAGAGCTCCCTTGTCACAGAAGACTTATGCTCATCTTTGAATCAATACTATATGAGCATATATGAAACAAGCAACAGGAAAAGGTTAGAAAGAGGAAGCAATTCTCTTTTCAAGGAAGACTTTATTTCAGTATTAATAAGAACACTTTTATTCCAATGACTATCAACACTCTCAAATATCAGAGTAGAAGGCTTTGCATTAAATTCTAGTTTCTCAGTTTAAGCTCTTTGTAAATCATTCACATTAACAAGCTATGGTTTGTTTTCTCCCTCAGTGAAACATAGATAGGCAAAAATTCAAACAACCACCAGAGAAAGTTTTGGATTGAGTGCTAAATTTTCATATTATTCATTGATAGGAATACAGAAATAGAATATTCTGATATTCTAGCTGGGTGAAATTCCCAACTATGAAATTCCACCAATCACCTCCTTTTCAAAGAAATGTTCTTGATGGAACTTTCAATAACATTTCAGCAACCAAGATTCAAGAAAAATTCCTTAAGGGACATGCTGATATCCCTACAGTTGTGGTCCTTTGCATATAACACTTTATCATTTAGGATGCCAGAAAACTTGTCAACTCTGAACTTTAGACAAGCAGCAGCAGAATTCGCATAGTCACTAAAGATAAATTTCTGCAACATCCACATTATCTGCCTAAAAGAACAAAGTGGAGTGACATGGTTGGTTAGCAGCCATTGACTGAAATGATCACAACTCCCTTAAAGTCCCATTTTTACAAAAAATCTGAATAAAATTCCTAAATTCTTCATGGAAATGAGCTCTTTATGGATTGTGAAATATTCTGCCAGTGCTCATTGCATAGACTGGAACACTGCATAACAAATTTGTTTTCTTTATATCTAATCAGGGATAGGACCGATTTGTTAGTGAAAGCAGCAGTAAAGATCTGACAAAGATTGTTGTTAGTAACAGTGTATCACAGGCTTAAATTTAGAATGCAATGTACACAGTTATGCTAAATGTAGCAGCTATGTGTTTGCTTTAAATTACTCATCAGTTATCTACACCAATTCATATTTTGGTTATAAACAATATAAAAAGGATGTCATAACAAGAGGCATTATAATTTACTTTGAAATCTTCTTACTTTGGTCCAGTGATGGTGAACATCCATGGTCCCGAGCATTACGTGGCCTGCTGCACTCATACCTGAACGGTCTGTAAATACCACTGTGCGTCCTAAAGATTGAACAAAGCTCTTTACTAGTTTGGGTTATTGCAATTATTCCCACAATTATTTAAGGCTTAACTATGCTACTAACATGTCACAAGCAACACATTTCTGCAGCACAAACACACATGAGTAGGTGCTTTCATTATTCTCAAAATTTGAAAGACTGATTCTTGAAAAACTCCAATTCAAGAACATTCACCTTCTCCCTGTTTAAACTTGACAGATTTTTAGTTAACTGGACTTTTTTCTTACAAAGACTATTTTTAAAATAAGAGAAAAACTCAGCAGACAGCATATTCAAAGAATCTGTACAAGTCATGTACGCAGTAGGAAATACGTAGAATCAGAATCGTTTAGGTTGGAAAAGACCTTTAAGATCATCAAGTCCAACCTATATGCTATAATATGCTATATGCTTAAAGTACATATAAACAAGGTAAAGGTAGGTCAATGAACTATTATCACAGCCATTCAACATTACTTCCACTGAACTCTCTGCAATGTGCAAGCTGTAAGAAATACGTTCACATTAGTTTTTTGCTCTTTTTTTAAAGAAAGAATAGAGACAACATAAAAGGATAATGCTAGTTTACTTTTGGGGGGACAAATCAGTTTTGAGTCTGAGCATTGTTCTTTAAGTGAAGTACAAAGATCCTCAATAATTCTTTAGGGTAAAAGTGCAGGCAACTATTTATCAAAATAAGCTTCCACAAAAGTCTTCAGGTGTGATGTGTTAATCTACAAGACAAGGCTTAAATGGAAGCTCTTGCTCTCAGAAATCAGTTTTCCAAAATCCTTAAGAAAGAGCAATACTGACTTTAAGGTATCTAGTCCATCCTTGTACCCCAAGGCAAGATCAACTGTACCTGTATAATTACTGACAGGCATTTGTCCAGTATATTATTAAAGATCTTCAAAGATGGAAATTACAACAGGTTCACAAGACAGACTTCTGCACTTTAAATCCTTAGCATGCTTAGGTAAAGAAACTGATTTGAAACCTGATACAATTTAAAACTACTACTTATTGTCCTACCCACTCTGTCTTTTGACTAAGGACTAGGAGAACCCTCAAATGAAAGCCACTCAAAACCGAGCATCTGCAGACTGGCATAAAATGTGGAGTTACAATTAGAGCAAACAGCTACTGCCATGGGTCAAACAGCTGTATGAGAAGAATGGTAGGTCAGGTTTACAGAATATTTGAGTTTTTCCTGAGAAAATACAGACTTTAATATAGGTATTTCAAGGAACATGCATGATAAGAGAATACAATACTATTTTAAAGGTACCCTAGTAAGTCCTCCTTGTATTGATTCTTTAGAGAACAACTCACATTTTTGTGTTGAATCTACCACGGGTAACAATCTATTGCTACCTCCACCCTTTCAGAGGTTCAGTCTGGATTTTTTACTTTCATTGTTAGTACTAAGTCTAGTGCCTTCAACTCACTCGGTTTGCATTTATTAAGAAGTAAAACAGAAGCTGAGTGTAGCAAATACACTATAAGGAAAGGTGACTTTAAAAAATACCCAGGTAAGTTCTCACCAGCTTTTCAGTAAGCCTAGCAGGTTTGGTTTTGCAGTTATCAAATGCATTTGTGAAAAGAACTAGAGCTCCCTTGTCACAGAAGACTCCTGCTCATCTTTGAATCAATACTATATTAGCATATATGAAACAAGCAACAGAAATACCTTTAACATTCTTTAATACTTCAGGTCTCTGTTGGACTAAGCGACCTAGACTGTGTAGTTGGCTACAGCGGTGAGCAATACCCCAGCTTCTTTGCCACCTAAATAAAAATATAATTGAAAGCATTTAATTCTCAACAATATTAAAAAAAAACAATCAAAAAACCACAGAAGTTGAGATGCAGCTGAAAGCCCTATAACACAAACAACTCCAACAAAATAGCACTCCAACAGTAATAAAAGCAAAGGCCTACTGAACAGCTGTCCATGTCATATGTTACTTGAACAGATAAAAAGCCTAAATAAAATCTCACTGTCTTTCTTAAAGTGAGTGCCAAAAAAAAAAAAAAAAGGGAATACAACCAGATACAGGAAAAATAAATATAAAACCTGGTAGACAGAACTCAACTTGCAAATCTTTCCCAATAAGAAGGGGGTTAGTAAGTAAACAGCAACAGACAATCCATTATTTGGTTCAGTCAGGTGGCATGCAGCTTGTTTGTACACTGTGTAATGTTTGTCTAGAGGAGCAAATACTGTATATAAGGACATTGTCTCTTCTCCCCCCTCCTTTGAGTTCCTAACCCAAAACATTACTGTGATTCCAGTGGTAAGTTGCTATATATA